ATCATCATCATCATATTATACGATATATTTTATGAAAAATAAAATATATTATAATTAAATAATTATCTAATGCAATATATTAGTTTAAAACTAATTTTTTATTAATATCTAATTATCTATTAAATCTTAGAACGTGTTTGGCAAGGATGTCAACGAGTCGAGCCGGATCGTGAGCTGAAACTCGAGGTTTGGATTCGGCTCGAGTAAAATCAAATGGGTTTTTTTTTTCCGAGGCCCAAAAAAAAAGCTCAGGCCTTAGCGAGCCTAGCCCAAGCCCGGGCCCGGGCCGACTTGATTTTCTCTCTCTCTCTCTCTATTTATTATTTATTTATTTTAATGGCACTCAACTGCCTTCAAGTGTTGCCTTAAGAAAGGTAGCCGCTTGCTGCCTTTTTTTTTTAAGGCCCAAGCCAGAGAGCCATACTGGCCGGCTTAGTTCGGCCCGAAACTTCAAAATGGGGCTTGGCTATAAATCAAGCCTCGAGTCTAGTCATGGGTGGCCCGAGTCAGTTAGCTCAATTGACATCCCTAGCGTTTGGTAATGATTAAAATTATATTTTTTTAATAGATTGCGATAGAAGTTTTGAAATGTGTGGTTGAAAAGTTGTGGAACTCATGAAAGATGTGATTAATATTAATTATTTAATTTGACTTAAATTAAAAGCATATTTTAATCTGTACCAAAGAGGCTCTTAAAGTTTATATGTTAGAAATAAAAGCATAATTCAAATGTCAAACAAAATTTTCTTGCAGAACATTCTTTACATTGTGGACCAGGAAACATGGAACTTGGATACTACTATTTTGAAGAAAAATAGTTTCATCCAATTTAACACGATGCAAAACCCGAAAAAATATATATATACTTGACATGTATATGCGTTGCAATATCAACATCAAGCTGCAATCAATATAATAATAGATTTTCCAAATTTTAGTAAGGAAACATTTTTAACAAGAAACCCAGTTTACATTCGAATCATTTTGCTAAAAATAATAATCACAATATCAGACCATAATTGCATGTAATAATAATACATTTTCAGGAATTTTTACAATTTATATGGAAGAGGCAAGTTACCTTACAAATTGGAAAGACTAAAATGCAGCTAGAGTGAAAGAGTTTTGCCATCATCTTGACAAGTTTTGGAATCATATTCCAGAATATTATTGAAATGATATGGACGCTCTATAATAATTCGAGTTCATATTATGATTAATAAGGCTGAATCCTTGTCCTTTAAAATGAATTAATTATTTAATAAGCTAAAAGTAGAAATGAAAGTTATTATTTTTATTGTTCAAAATTTGTTGTCAAATAGTACAAACAGTAATTGATAGTTCTTAAGTTCCTATATACCTAAATAATTCTGATTACTAGACTCTAAAATTTAATTCCAAATACAGTCTAAATATATTGTAAGTAATCGAATTAACTTTCAAGGATTTGCGTTTCACGCAGCCAACCTTCATGAAAATTGAACACCCGATTATTGTATACTGAATTTCTCAGTCCTCGTTTCCTATTCTGATAGCATGTCTTCTAAGTTGGAAGTTAAAAAAGTTGCCAGTTATTTTTTTTTTCACTTCTTATTTCGTTAATTTTGTTCGTACAGCCATCTAGCACTAGCTAACGACCTTTAGACGAGTTCTACTCCGAAACACCTAATTCTAATATTTCTATACATAAGCATATATGTTTGCTGTAGTTTATAAATTAATATCACTATAGTGATATAGATAAAAATCATATTTTTAGTAAATATTGATAAAAGTCGATGAAATTCATAGTTAAAAAGTTGTAAATTCCTCCAAATGTAAGATTAAAATTAATTGTTGACTTTGACTTAAATTTTAATTCAGACAGGCACAATATAAAATGAGAGCTGCTATTTTCATCCACTATTTTTATATATCTATCACATTCTAAATATCTCGATAAAAATTTTAAGATTTTTAAAAAGTACTTTATTCATCCACATTACATTCCAATATAGTAAGGGTGCCGTTATTTACATCCACAGTTTTTATATACATATCAACTTTTAAAAATATAATTATATTATATTTTTATCTTATGTAAATTTACCCAAATGGACATAAATAAAATTAAATAAAAATATATCGTTCTAACTTCATTCACAAATATTTATTTTCATAAATTCTTTTAAATGTTTTTATATTCTTTTAAAGTTTGTGATTAACTAGAATTCTAATAATAATAAATACCTTCTTCATCGAAAATCATAAAATTCTAATCATAAAATATCATCTTCAACGGAAATTAAAAAAATAAAAAACACATTATTAGAGTTGTAATTCTTTCATGATATGAAAAACAACATATTATTTTTTATACTTTTTTAAGTATTGGTTTGAAAGATAAAAATATATGAGAAATTTTAAAATAATTTTCAATACCTATCCAAATATTCTTACATTACAAAAGGAAACAAATTTAAAATTATCAGTCCAAACAGACAACCAAAATTATGAGCTAATAAGCAAAAAAATAAAAAATATTAACATATGATTTGAGGAGGGATTTGTTTGGTTGCTTGAGCAGTATACTCTTGATAGAATCCTATAAATTCAAAAGAAGAGATTTGCCAACATTTATAATTAAATATTAAAGCACTGACATGATAATATAGAAAACAAAAAGTAAGACTCAAATTAAGAAGTCGTTCAGCAGCCATTAATTACGAAAGTGCATTTTTCCTATCAAATCTACGTGGGGTCCGAACAATATTTTATTCTCCAATTCAAATTCAAACTTTGGAAAATCCCAAATTTTCCCTTGTTGTCATTATTGGATTGTTTGTGCAACCAATTTGCAATATTCTGGCATGTGAGAAAATTGGGAAGAACAAATGGTTTTCCAAGGCACAAATTCCAGAACACATAAAAACCAACAGACAATAAATTGGTAAAAGACAATCCAAAATTTAACCGCGTGACACCTTACCCAATTATTTTCCAAACATCACCATAGTTATTTCTTTATTTTGCACATAGTTTTATTTTTATTTTTATAATCATTATAAAAAATTGGGTAAACGACAATCCAAAACTTCACCCATGTGACACCTTACCCAATTATTTTCCAAACATCACCATGGTTATTTCTTTGTTTTGCACATAGTTTTTTTTTTTAATAATCATTACGATTACGAGAAAATGATTACAATTGCACCAGGTGCATCGAGCAGATACCATTTATTCAGAATACACATTTGCCACTCGCAAAATTTACTTGCAAGCTACTTTTAGTTCCTCGGCCACTGTTGGAATACTTCACAATTGGATCATATTCATGGTTGCTGCGCCAGGTAATCACGCAGTTTGTCCCACTCGCTCCGCTGCATCTCTGGTGCACGCATTGCATCTCATCTCATCTTCGGCGCTGGGTAGCTCCACCTCGGCCTCGTCGTCATCCTTCTCTGCTCTCCTGGAAGCCTCGTCCACCACTCCAGACCGTCGTAGGAAACTATATATCCCCATCGTGGCAACGACAACAGTAACTTGCGTCGGGTTAGGGTAGCTAGGCATACGGTCCAATATTTTCCACATTTGTTTCCACACCCCGAACGCACGTTCGATGATGTTTCTGCAGGACGAGTGTCTGAAATTAAACTTCTCACGAGCATTACTAAAGTGATGATGCTGTCCCCTTTGCTCGTCCCGAAACTGCTAGAAGTGATACAGGTTGTCCGACCCTTTGTACGGTGCCATATACCCCGGTTGATGTGCAAATCCGAAGTCTACCAAATAGTACTTGCTAGGGCCCAACAACAAAAATAAATTTTGGCAAGTAAATAGAACGTGCGAGTAGTCTAGCATTGTGGATATTCCCAGTGTGCCTTGCCAGGACGAACGTGAAACATAAATTGAAATCACATGCAGCCAATGAAACATAAATTGAACTTGCTCACCTTTTCGACCTATGAAGTGTATACGCTCTTGCCGCGGTACTGTTGCTATGACATGCGTTCCGTCAATTACTCTGATATAGTTTGCGAACAGTGGGTGCTTGTTCAAATCAGGCCTGTGAGGGTCCAAACCTTCGTTGTAGTTCAGACTTGGCCTAATCATACGCACGGAAAGCGCAAACACCGCACGTAGAACCTCTTTGATGTAGCGACAAACGGTTTCTAATGAATGGTTGAACAGCGTTGTCACCTGTTGATATCCCTTTCTATGTGTGAGTATGCAGAGGAGCATGCTAACTTGCTCGTAGATATCTACTTGTTGACTACTTCGCAGGCCATGCTCGTTGCACAATACATGTGCGAAATGTCACAGCATTGGGGGATACATACGAAATTCTTGAAAGCACATTAGCCCATTCTCGCTTATTGCCTCTATCATGAATATGTGATCGTTTCTTGCGAATGGAAATCGTTGGACATGATGATATCGTCGCCTAAAGTATTGCTGTGCTTCGCTCTCCACGATTCTGCAATACATAACCCATGCAGTTGCATCGGCTGCCAACTGGTTGAGGAAATCCCATTCATCCATGTCTTCCTCGTCATCGGATCTCGGCAGTAGAACACAGTTTGGGTTAAGACCATCTATGTTGGCAAGTATTTGAACTGCTTGTAATATCACGACCTTTGTTTCTTAAAAGCCGGAAAATAAGCCTTAAATGTCATATCCTCACAAATCTCTCACTTATGCTCGTTACCTTTCTTCGTGGGAATTTATAGAGCTTCTGCATGCATGGATACCACAACACAAGCAATTATTCTCTAGTGCTTGCAAGGTTTGAAAACTGTGGCCTCACAATGTGTGCACACACCCTTTTTCAGATTGGGGCTATAGGTTCTCTTTCACTAAAAATTATTCTTTCTTTGATAGTGACATGATAAAATGAGGAACTTTGAAAAAATGTGAATGTGACAAACTTTTCCTATCCATTATGTTGAGGCCTAGGTTTGCCTATAATGCAAAGTGGAACTATTGTACGCTATGCAGGAAATAATGGAGCACAGTACTTGAGTACGTTTAGACTACCATGGAAAAAAGTAAAACACATAAATTACAATGCTGAGACGATAGTACAGAAAAAAGAAGACAGTTTTCACCATTACTTAATAGAACAGAAAAAATAAACAACCAGCATAATTACTTTCCTCGATTGTTAAATATTCACTCGATCCACTCAAATTTCTCATCCACGTCCTTCATGACAGCCAACATGTCCCGGTAACACTTCTGTGCAAGAAGTGCGCAGGCAAAAAAGTACATGGGAGTTCTCCATTCGAGCCATCATGTCTCCAACAGCTCTTCAATAAAGGAAACGCCAGCACTTTTGCTTGTGGCCAGTATCATGTTAATCTTCGCTGCCACTTCCTCCGCGGCACTCATGGCACGGTCAACTAAGAAAAATAGTTCACGGGCAGACTTTTTTTTTCCAGCCTCTTCGTTGTCCGTCTGAAGATTTTCGTTTACTACTGCTTGTGTACCCTAGCATTTGTTTGTTTGGCCTCGTCCCTCGAGCCACTGCTCTCGACGTCGATCAAAATAGCATCACTGTTGTCTTCTAGCACACTCGTACAGGTTGAATCCCATTTTGCATAATTTAGTGGGAGTGACGATGTACTTGTCTCCATCGTAGCTGTCTCCGAGTAGCTAACAGCAGCGAATGTAGATCTCGCTCAGGTCCTTGTCCTTGAAGTCTTTGTACCCCTTATTCTCCGCAAAGCATGGGTTGAGGAGTTATAGTATCAGCATGGACTGGAATTTGGAATGCGTAAAGATAGAAAAAATGTGAGATACGAGAATACGCAACAAAATATGCATGATACGCTATGTCCGACTCATTGTGCTTCGAGAGAAGAATTGAAACAAGCTTATTATTTTCCAAAAAAAAATTGACGATTTTTTTGGTTGTGTTTCCATTTTTTGGAAAATTAGTGCGTAGGTCGATGCATAATTTCATATTTGACTTGCCAATAAATAACGAACACTATTCGCATTATGTTGAAGTGTATGCAGTTTTGAGAATTACAGATCTTCCCCAAATTCATCGAACAGGGACACGAAAACCACAGTGTAAGCCATTAAAAAAAATTTGAAGATAGCAACGGTATAAGGTCTGAAACTGATATAAGCAATAGAAAAAATTAGTACATAACAATGACGTTATTCAATTTGATCACGTCAACCGCATGTGACATTCCAACGCAACAAGCATACAACTGATTAATTTATGAAGTCCATGTTCGTTGTGGAAAGAAAAAGCCACTAATTAACAGAAACCAATTTCCAACCCATAATGATTTTGTAGTGAATTCTAGTCGAAATTAGAAATCAATTCATCATTCATGCACATTTGTTGCTAATTATTCATTGCAGTTTGTAAATACTCAGTTCGTCTCAGTCAATTCAAGGTGGTTCAAGTTAACGAAGGAAAATGGTAAAGTTTGTTAAGGGCAGCAGTTTGGCAATAAAGTGAAGTGGCCGAATGTACATAGTTCTTCATGAATTGGAGGGTGGGCCAAATCAGCGAAGGTGTGAGACGTTACCTTAAGCTTCCGACTCCACCACTGTGGTCGGTTGCTGCTTCATACTCCACCCCGCTGTTGTTCACAAGCTCCGACAGATGTTTGTGGGTTCGTCGCATTCCGTCCCAATAGTTTCGCAACTGCTGCTTGCTCCAGCTGTGCCCGATGACGGAGTTGAAGAGGGCGGACACACGTTCTCAACTGTGTTTTGTGAAACACCTGCTGTTCTAGTGTCCCTCCACTATGGTTGTTTCGCAGGCAGTCATGAAGGCCCAATTCATGTCCGGGATCCAACGCGCATAGGTTTTCGAGCTAGATCCCCTTACGGTTCGGTAGCGGTGTTGGACAAGCGTTGTCGGCTCGCGCCCGACTGTGAAGTATTATGGGTCGTTAGCATTGAAGCAAAACGTAATGGAAGTGTGGGAAACAAGGGGAACGAAGTGGGTATACCTAACTTTCAGCGGGATCCATGTTCGGTTGGTGGAGAAGATCGGTGCCGAATATCTTGTACAGGCTACAGATTCGATCGTAGAGGTTAACGTTGAGGCCCTTTCCCTCAATCGTGGTTGCGGCGAGCGTCACAAATGTTCACGGGGCCTGTGTGTAAGGTAGAGAAACTGTTGTTGGTGAGGTTGCCCGTTTCGGCCGAAAGGAGGGAGAAACTATAGTCGGTGGGAGTGGCAGTTTGAGGGAAGCGGGGATGGTAGTGGGAGAGAGAGTTGTGTCAGTGAGAGGGGCAGTTGGAGGAAATGAAAATGTTAGATACCTGTACACGTTCATATGCGTTGTTAGATATGTGAGTGAAAATGTTCGAAAAATTAATTTATAGGGAAAATTAATGGCTACCAAACGGGGCCTAAATGTTGAAAGTAATTGGATAAACATAGTGATTTTTAAAAATTTTTGAAATTATATTAGGAATGTATTTATAGTGGGATGAATATATAAAATTTGTATGGATCTATAATGTTTAAATGAATAAATTTAATAATGACAATATTGGAACTTGACGTGGATGAAATTAGTAATTTTTTAAAAATTTAAAATTTTAATATGAATGTATATAGAGTGGGATGCATATATAAAAACTGTGGATGTAAATAACGGCACCTTATAAACATGTTGTAAATGGTAAGTTTATTAGTGAATGACAATTGTACCCTTACAGCCTTAGAAATTATTACTGTTGTTTCCTTAATTTTTTCCTATAAATATAGGATTTTGGTTCTTAATAAAATGCACACAAGTTTATTAACTTTTATCCCCTCTTCTCTTTTTCTCTCTTTTCATAATACGTCATCAACACGAAAGTTTAATTTTTCAAGGATTATTGAAGGTCTTAATTTTTTGAAGTATAATCATCTATTACATGTATTAAAATTAATTTGGTGTCATGTAAATTATTTTATATACAGGGCTACTACTTTTTCTTCTCTATTTTAATATGTGTACAAATGTGAATATATTTACAATCTGTCGCCCCACCCCTTTTCTTCTATACTTTAATAAGTTATTTATGACGACTCTCATGCGTTCTGATTTGCCAAGTCAATTCTCCACCACAAATCAATTGATGCTACTATTTGCTTTCTCAATTTCCATGCCTTTTCATTTGTCGATCCTTTAAGTTATATAGATGACTTTTTATATCAATTTTTATTTGTATAATTAGTTCATATACAATAATGGTTATTATTACCTATACATGGTAATGGCTAGAAATGCAATGATATTGATTTGTCCTCACATATATCAATTATAATATACATCAAAATACCATAAATTATTATTGATTGTACACGCATCCCATAAATTCCACTCAATTCATATTAATGAATTCAGGTTAATTTATGTATATTTATAGATTAATTAATATTATGTAGTGTGCAATTGAACGTTTCATTTTTTTTTTGTTTTATTTTTTGTTTTTTTATGTTTAGAAATAAAATATTATTTATTGAATTCATTTTAATTGTTGTTGTTCCTGAAGTAATACAACATTATATAATTAATACTTGTAAATAATACAACTTGCTCCAAAATGGCATAAATTTTATTTTTTTAATATTTTAGAAAAATATTATTTACTCTCAAGGAGCATCAATTATAATTTTTTAGTGTTTCAGAAGAATATTGACATGTTGCTATTTAAGAAGTAATAGTAAAATACAATGTGCTCCTAAAGTTACACATATTTTGAAGAATATATTATTTTAAAGTAGTGTTTATCCTAGAAGGAAAAAAACATAACTTATGTCATGTTGACTATTTGATTAACTATTATGTAATGTTTAATCATATTCTTCGAAACTAATTGCATTTTTTTTCACTTTGTTGTGTAGTTAATTAAATGACAAACATTACAAAATTTGAGTTTGCTGCACTTGACATATCTGGCAAAAATTATTTATAATTGGTACTCGATGTTAATAATCGTCTTGTCTTAAAAGATTTGGGAGAAACAATAAAAGAATGAAACAAAAGATCCCTACACGATCATGTAAAAACTCTCATTTTCATTCATCATCATCTTTACGATGGATTGAAAATTGAATGTTTCACTAAAAAAGATCTACAGGTTCTTTGAAAAAAAATTACTGAAAGATTTGGTCATCAGATGACTATAATCCTCTCCAAAATTCGTTATGAGTGGATGTACCTTCGTTTACAAGACTTCAAAACTGTTAGTGAGTTCAATTCTAAGCTGTTCAGAATATATTTAAAATTGACATTATATGGAGAGAAAATTACTGATGTAGACATGTTGGAGAAAACTTTTTCCACATTTTACGCCTCGAATGTGCTTCTACAACAGCAATATCATGAGCGTGGTTTTAAAAGGTATTCAATACTCATATCTTGCCTACTTATAGCTGAAAAAAATAATAAACTACTGATGAAAAATTATGGATTACGTCCAATTAGTTTTGTACCATTGCTGTATTATTTGAAACAAATGCAATATCAAGACAAAGACATGGATATAGACGTGAATGTGGACGTGAACCTGTACGTGAAATAAATCTTGGAGAAATAACCAACAAAGATATCAGCAACAAAAACAGTTTCAAAAGGCACAAAGCAAATGAACGTAACAGATCTAAAAAAGAGCATGAAGAAAGTTACTTTATATGTAAAATGAAAGAGCATTGGGCACGTACCTTATCGTACGGAAAAACATCTTTTGGATATTTACCAAAATTCAATCAAGAAAAATGAAAAAGTGGAGACAAATTTTGCTGATTATGATAGTCCCATTGGTGTGACTCATTTGAGTGTCTCTAATTTCTTTGTTGATCTAAATGAGAATATTGATCATTGATTGGGGATGGTGTGATGGAAGACATAGATTAGCTTATTTTCTTACCTCTAGTATTTCCCTTCATTTTAGAAATTTAGTTTGAAGTATATTTTACTTTTCAAAAAAAAAATAATAATAAAAAAATTGAAACATTGTTCATTTTATAGTATTGAATTATGTTTACCTTTTAAATTTAAATTCAAGTTTTTTTAAGTATATTTATTTTGTTATATTTATATATATTCATTATGGGTGATACTTGCTTGATTGATAGTGCAACTACATATACTATTTTTCAAGACAAAAAACTTTTTTGGACTTAACATTAGCAAAAAATAATGTTAATACGATATCAAGTGCATCGAATATTGTTGAAGACTCTGGAAGAACTTGTATTATTTTATCAAATAATACAAAATTATTTATTTTCGATGCATTTTATTCTACCAAATTCAGAAGAAATTTGCTTAATTTTAAAGATATCCACTGCAATGGATATCACATTGAGACGATACAAGAAAAGAATGTTGAAATCTTTGCATAACATTTTTTTTGTATCTAATCAGAAGTAGATAAAAGAAAAACTTCATGCACTCTAATTTGATATGTATTATACATTTATAAAAATGGTTGAATCAAATATTGTTACGAACTGGAAGTTTGTTGAACCTAAAAATTTTATACTTTGACATAATCGACTTGGACATCCATGAGTTATAATGATGCATCAAATATTAAACAACTCACATTGATATCTTTTAAAGAATCAGAAGATTCTTTTATCTAATGATTATCCATGTGCAGTTTGTTTGCAAGGCAGGCTAGTAATTAGACCTTCGACTACATATATCAATATTGAATCTCCAACTTTCTCGAAAAGAATTCATGGAGATATATGTGGCCCAATACACTCACCATGTGGATTATTTTGTTATTTTATAGTATTAATTGATTCTTCTACTAGATTGTCATATGTTTGCCTACTTTTCATTAGGAATGTAGCATTTGCTAGACAACTTACTCAAATTATAAAATTACGAGAGCAATTTTTCGATTACCCAATCAAGACTATTTGTTTTGAAAATGTTGGTGAATTTAGATCACAAGCATTCAATAATTATTGTATGTCAATTGAAATTGTTATTGAACATTCGGTTGCGCATGTCTGTACCCGAAAATGATTTAGCGGAACGTTTACAACTTGTTGCTGGACCATTACTTATGAAAATAAAACTCCTACCTTCTATTTGGGATCATGCCATATTACATGCTACATTATTGGTTCATATAAGATCAGCTACCTATTATCATTTCTCATTTGCAACTTGCATTTGGTCATGAACTTAATATTTCTCACTTACCGATTTTTTTGTACTATCAAAATCTTTATTTGCCCCCCACAACGTGCTAAAATGAGCCCCCAGCGAAAACTTGAAATTTATATAGGTTTTGATTCACCGTCTATTATTAGGTGTCTTGAACCTTTATTTACTTTACGTTTTGCAGATTGTCATTTTGATAAAATTACTTTTCCGACTTTGGGAGGAGAAAAATTACATCCTGAAAAACTAGGTAAAATTTATTGAAACGAAACAACTCTATCTCTCTTTGACCCACGCAGCAATCTATGTGAGTAAGAGGTTAAAAAAATCATTCATTTGCAAAAATGTTGCAAATCAATTACCTAATGTATTTATTGATACAAAAAAGTGATAAAATCATATATTTCAGTAGAAAATATTTCCAAAAATTGAATTCACTATAAGACAATCTGTTGTAGCAAATGAATTTCAAATACATTAGAAGTGTGATCCATTAGTTGGTTCAAAAGACTCTGTACCTCGAAAATAAAAAGTGCAAGAGAAAAATCAACTAAAATCTTTGGAAGAAGTAACATTAGATAATTTTTGCTTTTGCAGACAATGGATCTAGTTGGAGAGTGTGGAAGTGGGAAGTTCACAGATATCAGTTTGATACAAAGATTCTACAACCCTGAGTCCGCCCACATATTCTAAAATGGAGTGGAAATTCGAAAATTCAATCTAAGTTGGCTGAGGCAACAATTGTGATTAGTGAGTCAAGAACCTATTATTTTCAACAAAACAATTCTTGAAAACATTGCTTACAAGGTTGCAACTGAAGAAAAGACCATTTTAGCGACAAGAGCTGCAAATGCACACACCTTCATATCAGGATTGCCTCAAGGATATGAACCTAACGTTGGGGTGAAAGGAATTTAATCGTCTGGTGGACAAAAGCAAAGAATTGTTGTAGCAAGAGCAATATTGAAAGATCTAAAGATACTTTTGCTCGATGAAGCAACAAGTGCACTGAATGCATATAGTCCAGAAGCCTTTAGATAGAGTTATGGTGAAGAGAACTACTATCGATGTAGCTCATTGCCTGACTACAGTAATGGGAGCAGACACCATTGCTGTTGTGAAGAATAGAGTGATTGTTAAAAAGGGAAGTCAC